ATGAAGCTTTTCGGAATGCTTCGAATGCATCTGCCAAAATTAATACATCAGATTTAAGATAAATATCGTGATAATCTTCAAAAGTTTTACAACCAGTTTCTTTCCACACTGTATATACAAAATCATAATCCTTTTGGGATATTTTATAGACTTTCTAGTGTTCACATTCTTTGTCTTCTTTACATTCATTGCAATTACCTAGTTCTTTTTTATGCATACATTTCTGACATTTACATTTGCATTTACCTATCTTTTTTCCATGTTCACATTTTACGATTCTGCAATTGCGGTCGTAATAGTTACATCAATCTAAGTCACTATTAAAATCCTTACGTGGTGGGAGTTGTATCTTATTAAATTTTGTTTTGTTATTTAACAATTGATATGGAAAGATTCTTTTACGTGTAAGTAAGGATAATAAATGTGGTGAAATAAATTTTGACATTATTGAGAAACATTTGGCTAATTGTTCTGGTATTTTAGTTTGACCCTTCTTTTTATCACATAAATTTTCTGCCATTTTTGCTAAACCAGGTAATAAAAATTTTATACTGTTGATAAATTGAAGTTGGCCAACTGAAAATGTTATATATTGCTCAGAATTATTTGTTATGGGTATTATCTTTTCATCTGTTACCTTTGCTATCTCTTGCATAAGATGATGAAAATCATAGTTACTCCTTCCACAAAATATTACCAGAATTTTATTGTTTCTGGATCAATTTATAATTTGAAGTTGCAACTACTGTGAGATGCTCCTCGAAACTTTTCTGTAATATGGTCATGATCTAGTACCTTATTTTTTTCCTCATCTGGTAAACACATTTTGCAGTACATACATACCTTACAAGGTTTATGTTTTTCTTTTTGCTCATTATCTAACTTACTTTAAATCATTGGTTTTTTCCCATGACATTTTCTATGCGAAATACTCAAATATTTTTTGGTTTCAGGATTGAATACCCGAATTTTATTGTATCCTGATACGTGTAATTTTTTTTCGCATATCCAGCACTTACTTGCCTTTTGATATTGCCTCTATAATTTTGGTGACATTTTTTCGCATGGAAGAGGATCACATAACTTATCTAAAATAACCTCTAGATCTTTTTGAAGGTTTTTCATTAAGTCTTTTATTATATTTTTTGATTCTCGTTTAATCACTGGTTTTTGCGTTATTACTTTTGAACAATGAATAGTATACCTATATGAAACTGCTTTTTGTTCTGCTAATTTTATAGTATTTTCTTTATTATCTTTTTTCTCTACTTCGATTTCTTCTGCTTCAAGATCCATAGTAATTAAATAAGGTTTCTTTAACATATTTTTGAAATACTTGAGTTTCACATAGTTTTTACCCTCTTCTGGAAGAATTAATCGTTGTGATGCTTTACTAGGTCCTAGGTATGTTGGGATATGTTTTTCTAATAAATCTAGTTAACTATAAGGAAATCGTAAGTATTTTCAGCAGAAGTATTTTTTTCCGTGATGTTTATTCCATTTATGCATTAATCGCTCAAAATCTGTTATATAATACATAATGTGTTTTTAATCCTTCTGATATATCGTTAGAATTTTTTGGATCATTTAAACTCTCTTCACTTTCTGTTAAATATAACAAATCTATCATATTCTCTACTTGATAATTTCTTTCAGAGATATGTAATGGATCTATATCTATTTTTATTTTTTTGAACACTTCTTTCATCAGGAAATTTTTAAGGACGGATAATTCCATAAATTTTCGGGATGTAAAATTTCTGTAAATTTTTGCATAAATTTCCGTAAATTTTCATAAATCTTCGAAATTTTTTGATGTAAAATTTTGCGAAAATTTTTGCAGAAATTTTCAAAATTTTTTTACATCAAAATATTTCGTTAATTTTTACAGAATATTATGAAAAACTTTTCGTAAATTTTCGATAAAAAACATAATATTCCATTTAATAGACTAAATATGTAATACAAAATGATTTTGTTTATTTACCTAAAATGATCTTATTTATCTTATTTCAAACTTTTTCAAAAACTATTCATGAAATTTTAGAAATTTTAGAAGACAAAAATTTTCCGGAAATTTTCAAAAC